TTTTAGCGATTTCCTTATTTTGGTGTAACTCTAAAACAAATGACCGCAGAAATTTTATTTTCATTAATTTCCTGATTTTTAATATTTTTTTTAGTTTCGAGAAAAATTGCGAATTATTTAACACCATAATGTTATCAAACATGTGACCCGCCGCGCCGCGCAGATTCCCATATACGACCGGTCAAATACCTTTCGTGTTCCTAATAGTTATAAATTATAATCATATTTTATTTCTTCAAAACTAGAAAAAAAATTAAAAATCAGGAAATTAATGAAAATAAAATTTTGAAACGTCAATATTTTCAGAAAAATAAACTCTACAAAATGGCTATCTTTAATATTTTTGGAAATAATTAAATAAAAAAATATATTTTTTACATCTTTTACAAAACCATTAAAATAAATTAAAAAATGAAATAATTGTAGTTCTTATCCCTGTGAATCTTATTATAAAACCAGAATTTCGATATCTCCATTATTTCGTGAGATATCGCAATGGGTAAATCCTCACGGGACACCCTCTATTTCATTATACGTATCTTTTACTAGTTACTAGTTTATTGAAAAAATAATGCTATAAATATAACAGATATTATATCAGTGTTTAATATGTATTATATAATGGTATAATACTAAAATAATAAAATTTCAGATAATTATTCAGATTACTTTATATCTWAWTCCAATGGTATGTATTTGAAACTGACTAATAAATATAATATATTAATATATCTGTGATTTCTTTTATAATAAATATTTATCTAGTCAATATACTTAAATTAGATATCACTATCTGAAGGTATTAAACTTTTCTGATGGAAAAGTTATTATAAGTGTTCAAAGACTCTAGAAGTTAAGAGGCCGTCACAGTAGGAAAAAATCGACCGTAAAAACATACTTTTTTATTTCCAATAGTACTCAGGCCTCATTGATCGTAGAAACATGATTTTAGTATCAAAATAATCACAAGAATTTGTACTTAAAAATCTTGGAACAGATTTTTGATTTATGTTTTCTAATCAATTTTATTTGCATTTGAAGTTTGTAACAAATTTTAATTTTTTTAAAAAATTATATAAAATCAGAAAATTGGGGTATCGAAAATCTGTTCCAAGATTTTTAAGTACAACTTCTCGTGATTATTTTGATACTAAAATCATGTTTCTACGATCAACGAGGCCTGAGTACTATTGGAAA